ATATCCCACTATAATTGACTCCTCCACCTAAAACTTTTCATCCTTCAGAAATATCCAATATCATTAATAGATTACCTTCCTGCAAAGCTCCTGGCCATGACCTAATCACATCCCAGATCCTAAAATTTCTTCCTAAAAAGCCATATTGTTCCTAACCTATATATTTAATGCTGTACTCTGCACCACATATTTTCCTGACTCTTGGAATCTATTCATTGTCAAAATGATACCTAAACCCACAAAGCCGCCAGAACACCCATCCTCTTACCGTCCTATCTCCCTTTTACCCATTATGGGCGAAGTCCTGGAAAGACTCATATTAAAACGCCTGTATCCCATCCTAGACTCCAAACACATTATCCTCTGCATTGGAGAGCGGGATGTACTGCACGGGAGTCTTTCTCGACGTTGAACAGGCGTTTGATAGAGTCTGGCATCCGGGACTGATGTACAAACTCCGTGAATTCCTACCACCTACATACTTCCTCATTATCCGTTCCTACCTTACTGACAGATACTTCAAAGTCAGTCATAACAATGCTTATTCATCTCTTTTTACTCAGTCTGCCGGTCCTAGGTCCTATCCTTTACACAGTTTATACAGCTGACATCCCAACCCAATCCAACAATGTCATCACCACCTATGCCGATGACACGTGTATCCTATCAGTTAATAACGATCCATCTATTGCATCCCAAACTCTTCAATCACACATCACAAGCCTTGAAAAATGGCGTCAAAACTGGAGGATTAAAATAAATTCCAATAAATCCCACCAAATAACCTTCACACTTCGTCGTAAACCTATGACTTCCTGTCCTATAGTATCCTTCAATAATATCCCTCTTATCCCTGTCGAACAAATCCGATACTTAGGACTCCACCTTGACAAATGACTCACTTGGAACCCCCATACCAGACTGAAACGACTAGAAACCGCCCGACGTTTTCGACTACTGCAGCACTTACTAGACAAACGATCTAATCTTTCAATCAATTATAAACGACTCGTATATATGACAATAATAAGACCTATTTGGACTTACGGAATTGAGCTCTGGGGCTCCAGTAAACCATCGAATTCCTCTCGTATCCAATCCTTACAATCCAAAATCCTTCGTAAAATCCTCAACGCTCCTTACTACTTTGTCAGAAATAAAATCATCCATAAAGACCTTAATGTTCCATATGTTTCCGATTTGGCCCAATAAAGATACCTGTCCTTCCATAACAAACTGCAGAACCATCCGAATCCTCTCGTTTCAAACTTTGCTTCCTCCTCTATCCCTGACAACCCTCCGAGGAGTCTGAAAAGAAGATGGCCTCGGGATCTTCTAATATAGAACTTTAATTTGAGTTCTACCAATGGGTACTTTCTTTTCATGTTGTACATGTCATGTTATCAATTTCACATTTACTTATTGTATTTTATATGTAATAGAGTTGTAAATTCCATTAAAATAATAAATAAAAAAAAACTTTTTATTTACGTAAGCAAAGTATTAATGAAGACTTTAATGGCAGGCTATATTCCAAAGATGGGTCGTTTATTTGTTACAGACCCAAAGCTAGAAGAAAATAGGAGATTAATAAAGTAATGGTCCTGAATCAACTTTTTTTTTTTTGTAATTTCATTTCCTAATTTCGCTAACATATGCACCAATGTGTTTTCCTTGAAACATTTACACTTCAAAAACGGTCAGCTCTATTTAGTGAAACCGGAGGAAATTTGGAAAATAGTGTGAGTGTTTATAACCACTTTGATTGAAATCTAATTTCAAATCCAATTAATGCCATAGATAAGAACATAATAACAGTAAAATATGGCAGGCAATGAGCCTTTGTATATTTTCACATTTCATATGATTCAATATTAGTTTTTACGTGATATGTTTTAGATTTCTTATTGGAATATTCCATAGGAGGAAAACCTTTTTTTTTCATTCGAGGCCGGAGAAAGGTTAGGCAGTACTAATGGAAGCCACAATAATTTTAGATATTTTACTATTGCTATTTTTAAATATTCCTAAATACACCCATATACATGTAATAAACCTATTCTATTATTTTTAAATGTTTGTAACTTAAATAACTAAATACTAATTAGTTTTAGAGCTGGATTAATAAATATCTCTCAAAAACGTTAAATGCCGCAGGTAGGTCACAAAGGCTACGTGCGGTCCGGAGGCCACAGATTTCCCACCTATGAAATATTGTATTCGAGTTGAAATACAAACATAGCCTTAGTATGTTATAGCATTTTTGTATATTATGCGTATACCCGTACATACATTTTTTTTTTTAATTATACATTACTTCCAATATATACAGATTAATAAAGGGTTAATGTGGACTATATATTTTTTTGGCTAAACGGTAGAGATGGGTAATATGGTAAAGAGTGGAATATATTTTCCGTAATAAACAATAAATTTATATTTCCGGAGGAGTCTTTTAAATCCTCGCCCTCACTCCCTGGTCTGGGAAAACCCCGTATAGCCTTAAGGGCAAGGAAGGGGAGGACCAAAAAAAAAATAAATTGTAAAAATGATGAGAAAGCTACACTGATCTACTTGGTATACGATTATTCTATTCAAGCAATATATCACATTTATTTCCTACTTTTTCAAGACGTGAAAAATGAGTACATTTTCAACATATCATAATTGGATCTGGTCATAACTTCATTCTTTAAAATATTTCACAATTAGTCCATTAAGGGTTGTAACATATTCTTCAATAACTCAAGACTTCATATTCTACAATTTTAATATTTCATAGTCAAAATATATAATAGAACTTCTGTACAATATTTTACAATACACAAAAGCGGTGAAAGAAGTCCAATCTCCAATTCCGTTCCTTCCAGAACCAATTATAAATGCTCTTCTAACTCTTCGGCTTAGCAACCAATATCCGTTCGTTAAAACTTCTTCCTGTACCTTGCAGATGAGGAATGGCTTACATCTTGTTCCATCCAATTATTGAATAAGCTAATTAAAGATTTACCAACGCATTTTAGAAAAGTTAGAAAATTGTACTTTCAATCTTATCATTTGCTTTCTTAACTATGAAAGGTAAGAAAATCCTCTAAACAAGTATGAAGTTTTCTTTTACTCACTTTTAAGTCACGTATCTATCAGATAAGAGGACTTTCGCTGAAATCGTTGCAAAAATGGCACATACAAGATGAAGAGAAGCTACTGGAACACTTTCTGGAATCAAATGCTAATTAAGAGTAAAAAAAAAGCGTGTTATGCCATTAACGTTCAAGTTTTTAGCAAGATGTTTCTTTAGATAGTTTATTGTTTCCAGGTTACGATCTTCTATATTTGGTCTCAAATAGGCGAGAAGAAAACCTGATATTTTAATTAAATTATTTATCTATCAAAACTGTTCAAAAATGAATACGGGTATTTATGATTTTATTTATTTTTGTTACGATATTTATTTCTAATTGTGGATTTATGGTTCACTGTTGTGAATGATTGTTCGGGTGATCAGTCAAAATAAAAATGGCCAAAAAAAACAAAAAACATTTGCTATGTTAAAATAAATATCATTATTTATTTTTGCCAATTTTATTTTGGCTGATCCTCCTAACCACCCTTCTCTTCGGTATTTATTTTTGTTTGTTAGGGCTTTTTTTATTTGTTGGTAAACCTAAAAAATAAACAATAAGTATTATTTAGGTTTAATAAATTATTAACTAAATTGATAGTCAACACGAACAATACTCATTGTTTAAACCAACATTTGTTTTTGACCATTCCCAATTTTAATCCAGTAATATTCTGTTTGATGATTGAAATACATCATATTGAACAAAACCTTTGCAATATTATTTCGAGAATGAGCAGGCAAGTTACGAAACTGATAGTTGACAGAAATATTGCTTTTTGCTGTAAAAAACAACCATTTTCCAAGTAAACATAAACGAAATGTGCCATGTTCTGCCAACGCTTATATCAATACAAACAATCCGTAATAGTTTGTGGGAAGTTGGTCTTACATATTATGCCTCTTTGGGCCGACCTGCAGCAACAGTGTGTCATTAGTGTCGCAGTATGTCGCAGATTATGGTGCAGCGATCGCCTACATGAGGATACAAATTGGAACGCTGTTATGTTTACAGAGGAGTCGGGTTTCTCTGTTCACATTATTAGCAGGGCGCTGAAAAGTCTGGCGAGAATTGGGGATGAGTACATTGTTACAGTATGGGCTTCATTCTATGCAGTCTGGAGCTCAGAGTGTGATCGTATTTGTCGGCGTCTACTCAGAAGAACGGACTCTATTCCATGCTGTGATAAGAATTCCCACAGTAGTTCGATGTGTTCAATAACTTATAGAAGACTACATTTCTTAAACCACACCTGTAATTGGGCCAAGCTTGAAGCCTGTCTTGAAAATCTGGGCATATCAAATCTAACCTTTAAAATTTAATCTGAGCGTAGGAAATATTTCCTTTTTAGCAATGAAAAAATATTGTTTTAATATTATTTTATAAACGATCAAATTTATTTATCTAAATATAGTTCTTATAATAATAACATTATATATATATATGTTTTAAACTTAACTTCTTTACCTACACCTTTCAGTAGTATTGAAAATCTCTGAGTCTGCTTTCTGGAAGAATGATAATAGAAGCACTGATCGGCGTGAGGGAGTTTACCTGTCTCGATTTTAATATACTTTTTAAGCGAGGAAATCACTCATTCAGCATAGTTTGAACCTCCTAAGAGTGTTTTCTGGCATGTTATTTGCAGCAATACCTTGTATGAGTGTGTTGGTATATTCTTATAAGTTATAATGAAATCTTTTTTGGTTTATAATAATACACATGAGAAAGCGAACCAAAAGTAATTTTTATCATATTTGTTTCCAATCTCTTTTTAAATTCAAAGAATTTTGTCAAGAATATATTAAGTAAAGTTGATAATGATTAAATCTAGATAATACAAGTAAATCGCTATGGCGAAAAAAACATTTTATACGCACCTGTGATTATTGTTCACTTTCTAATTATGATTTGAGAAGTAATTGGCTCCTAGAGTTTGTCAATCTTCTTGTAGCTTCATCATACTGCACGATTCGAAAAGGAATTTTGCTGCCTGTAAACAAAAAAAAAAAAAAAAAGTGTGAGTACCAGAAACCCAGTACTAAGTTCAAAACGATTTCTAAACAGTTTTTTTTTCTATTTTTTTAGAAAAGTTCACCATCTTAAAAATATACACATACTTAACAAAAAATGGGTGATTTGAGGAAAAAATTGAATGGAAGTTTCATCAAAGTCGTAACAACCGTTTGGAGCTACAGTCTATAAAAACACATGTTTCCATTCCGCCGCAATCATAAAACAAAGTGGCAATTGGTAATGGAACCAAAATTCTAAAAAGAACAACCGTTATATTATCATTGTGAGGGAATAGTTGGAATATATATTTGCATTTGCATGATTCAATCAAAGTGGGGGGGGGGAGGTAGAAAATGAGCTTTTGATGTCATTAAACTCTCCTGAGATTATCGCTGGCAAAATAACCAAAATAACATTGGACATAGAGTCACCTACATCCGTGTAAAATTAGAACTTGATCTGGGTATTGTGGCGGGCGGGGTGAAATTTTGGGAGTTTTCCCCTGATCCGTTTGGTTAATCCTAAAAATGTATACGACAATATTTGTTAGGCTCAGAAAGTTGAATTGAATGACATCTTGAACGGAAATATCAGACAAAGTTCAAAAATGAGTGTGTTTTACCCGTTCTATGTGACAACGCGTTACAGATGATCGGTATTCCGGATTTTTCTCGTTGAGTTGTAATAATTTTTTCCATCAGTTGAGTAGTACAACTTTTAAATGTGGCTCGCGGTAGAGTATGTCCTCCGGGATCTCTAAACAAATTACTCAAGAATTCATAACTTTGGTTCTATATATTTTGTTTTCATTTAAAGACTATATTTTAAGTCAAGTAAAGATAAATGTAATGTCAAAATTTCAAAAGTCTACCATTAAGTATTGCCGAGCTTACCTCTGACAAAATTTCGTTGGACAATGCTGACACCCAGACAGACAAAAACATATTTTAAAAGTGGATTTGGTATCTGAAATGTATAAAACGGAAATATATCATGAAACGGGTTGATTCTATTCAATGTACAGAAGAAACCTTTACTTTATTTATATAGATGTTCTTTAACCTATAAACATATGTTTATTATTAACATTTATTATCAACATTAACCGAGATCTCTAGTCAAATTACTCAAGAGTCCATAACTTTGGTTATACTCAATATTTTGTTTTCATTTAAAGCCTATGTTTTAAGTCAAGCAAGCCTTAATATAATGCTGAAATTTCAAAAGTCTGCAATAAGCCAATGCTGAGCTTACCCCTGACAAAATGTCGATGGAATGCGGACATACAGACTGACAAATTTTTTTAAAAAAGTGGATTTGGTGTGTGAAATGTATGAAATGGAAAGATAGCATAAACTAGTTGATTCTATTCAATGTGCAGGCAAAATCTTTATTTTATTTATATAGATTTTAATTTTTAAAAAACCGACTATGGAAATTGGAAAATTTGATCCACCCTGAGAGATTGTAGTTCCTTATATACGGAAACATCTTGGTAGATTGATAGGGAAAATAACATCTACGAATATTTAATCTTGGTGTAGCATCTAATTCAAGACACACCAACTTCTTTCGGATTTTGACATGCACTGATGAGACGAATTATATTTGCCTATAGCAGTAATCTGTAGTGAAAGGAACCCAACAACCTAAACTATACCAAGTTTAAATATTGGTAGATATCAGTTTCCCTATCAAACTACCGAAAATTTTCAGTAGACATAGGAGTACATTCCCTTCGGGTGGATAGAATTTCCCAATTTCTGTAGTGTGCTTTTTTTTAATTTAAATATTTTTTATTTTAATGATATTATAAATATGAGAGTTTTATCGATATGATTTATTTTATAGATATAATTTTATTGATAGTATAATATTATGTTTAAAATAAGAATAATAAGTTTATATACTTCTTCTTTTTTTTTAGCATACACTTCCATACTTATTTATGCACCTTAAGGAAGCAGTAAAATTCTTTGAAAACATATTCTTATTTAGAAGAGATCTACCTTATCAAATGTTGTTGGATAAAAGAGGAAGGGTTCTCTGCGGTTGAGTTGCTAAGGTCAAAGTGGAGGGAAAGACTTCTATTTTCATTTCCCTCGTGTTCCTCGCCGACTTGCAAATCGTCTCCAACCACCCTTCAAAGGAAACAATGTTTTTGAATGGCTTGGGTTGGGCTATTGCCCATCGGAAAGAGAAGAAACACCTCAATGGAAAGCGTGGGTCAAAAAGAGGAAATAAGGCAATTCTAAGTTATGACATATTATAATTGTTTTCTTTAATTTATTAAATATATATTTTATATATAGTGTCTATATTCGTACATATGAAAGTGCTTTATATCTTAATTTTTGTCTGTGTGTGTTTTGATTTTATTTAAATATTGGTGATAATTTTTTTTTTTTTAATTACGCTTTAAGCCATTGAGTGCGCAAATCTTAGATAAATTATGAAGTAAAAAAAAATACTAGTTTGCTGTAACATTTTTTAGCGAAAATTCATTATTGAGATATATTATAATCAGTCGCATCTAAGGACAATGGTAGTAGTGATATAAGAATAGCTCATTCACACTATCTTAAATAAATAAACATAAAAAACAGCAAAATAAAAGTACTAAAAGTAAATGTATAAAACTAAAATAAACTAATCAAAATAAATACTTAAGTACACACGCTTTTATAAAATGTTACAAAATTCATTCACTCATGATATCCAAGCCAAGCCTCACTCCCAATCGTGGAAGGACTTTAAGAGATCCCAGCGCCCCTTACTCGGCCGCAGTACTGGTACACGGTGGGCCAGACCCCCTTACCGTGCACCCCCCCCCCCACATCCCTATAAATTACATATCGTTGTGTTCCTTGTGACAATTTATTAAAACAAAGCCAATGTTCACACAAAAAAAGTGAACGAACTGCCCCAAAATGGCGTCGAAACATGGCGGATTGACGACTTTGACTTTAGTTAGTTTTTTTGTTACTGAGAATCAGCATTTGGCTTAATTTCATTATAGTTGGTCTTTTATTAAAGCTGGATAGACATAGAATAATAAAACATGAAAAAAATTAAAAACTAATTGGCTTAGGCATTAAAAAAAATCGGTAAAGTCAATTTGTTTTACAAAAAAATTTTAAAGTTGAAAATCAAGCGTCGTTTGTAATTAAAACTAATGCAAAACTTGCTGAAGTAAAACATCTGGAGAATACATTTTTATACATTTTTCTTTCTAAAACACTGATTACTTTTTAAAATATTTGAAGTAGTTCCGCAGAAAATGTACAAAGCGGCAGAAAAGCGCTACTGGCGTAGGTGCCTCAGGCCTCTACCACACCACTCAGTACTCATAAATGGCTTAGTTATAGTGCTATAATAACGTTTTTGTTATATTATATTGATTGTATTAACGAACAAATATTAATATAATAATTTAATTGTCAAAAAAAATTTATTTTTATTTTATTATTATTTTTTTATTTATTTTTTAAAATTTAACTTCCTATATTATTCTATACGGAGGTCGCTTAAGAAGACCTCTATTATAAAAATTATATAATTATAATAATACAACTTAATTCAAAAATACTTTGCTGAATATCTTGAATTTTTTATTTAATATTTGCTATTTAATATTTTGTTTTATATATTTGCTGATTCTTAGAGGTAATTTAAATTGTATATACTTCTCCGGAAATGAGTCATATTAATATCTGTTTTATAAACTAAAATAATATATACCTAATCTGAACTACTTTTAATGAATAGGTGATGGATTTTTTAGTAAAATTCATATATCGCTATAAAAAAAATCATTTTTATTTCCTTAATTGTATTCGGAAGTTGGACCATATCATAAAAAATATGAACTTTTAATATTAAATGCATTATTCCCTCTGCACAAAATAAGGATGGAAAGGGCGAAGCTATGAGTTCTTCTAGGTAACTGTAACTGATTGTTAGTATTTGGTCTCAAAATGAGGGAAAAAGCGAAATTGAACCCAAACATTGGAAAAAATACATTAAGCGAACGACAAAGGAAGTGCCAAAATTTCGGAAAAGAAAACAAGGATCAGTATACGTTATAAGGCTAAACGAATATATAGTAGACAAATGAACAGAATATTTCAAGATGCTGCTAAAAGAGGGTCAAAATGCTTGCTGAGTTTGGATGATATTAAGCAGATTTGTTGTCGTGAAGACCACTTTGTCAACAAGAAAGATTTGTTCTGAGCAATTGGCAAGCAGGTCTGGAGGAAGTAAATGAGGTTTATAATGGTGAAAACCACTTTATTTTAGATTGCTATTGAAGTTGCACATTGGGACTATCTTCACTTTGAAGCAGGTTGTAGAGAGGTCTATCGATAAAGGAAAATAGCACTCCTCCTGTTTAGTGCAATCGCATAAGATTTTTGAAGGAGTCTGGGGTCAGTTTGGATGATATTAAGCAGGTTTATTATGGTGAAATATTATCGCTCAGGCAATCGACAATATTTCTAATTTTAGCTTCTACGATTCTTGAGTAGACTTTCTTTGGTACTATATCGAATAACATAAGGAATATCGAATAACATTTCCTAATATTTCATTTCCTGTAAAGGGACAAAACTACAGTCCTTTCAGATCATTTTCAAATACATTTGTAGCCTTTGTACGCACAGCATTTCGGATTACTTCGTCCAGACCAGCTGACTTGCCAATTGCTTAGAAAAATCTTTCTTGCTGATGAAATAGTCTTCACCATAATAAACCTGCTTAATATCATCCAAACTGATCAAGCATTTTGACTCACTTTTAGCAGCATCTTGAAATATTCTTTTCATTTGTCTACTATATATTCGTTTAGCCTTATAACTTATACTGATCCTTGTTTTCTTTTCCGAAATTTTGGAACTTCCTTTGTCGTTCGCTTAATGTATTTTTTCCAATGTTTGGGTTCAATTTCGCTTTTTCCCTCATTTTGAGACCAAATACTAACAATCAGTTACAGTTACCTAGAAGAACTCATAGCTTCTCCCTTTCCATCCTTATTTTGTGCAGAGAGAATAATGCATTTAATATTAAAAGTTCATATTTTTTATGATATGGTCCAACTTCCGAATACAATTAAGGAAATAAAAATGATTTTTTTTATAGCGATATATGAATTCTGAACGCCGAGAAGACAAAAGCCATCTTGATCGGATCCCCTTCACTCCTCAAATCCTCCCCAGTATCTCCCAATCTCTTCCTGAACAACTCACCTATCTTATTCTAAACCACCGTTAAAAACCTAGGTGTTACTTTCGATCAATCCCTATCCTGGAAACCTCACATCTCCCAAATTTCCCGTCGCACTATCTCCACCCTAAAACAGTTCTAAAACATATTCTTCACTCTAGCCATGGATGACTGGTCATAGTGCCTCTGCTCAGCCTTTACTGGTCCTTAATACCATAGTCGGTGGGCCAGACCCCCTTACCGTGCACCCTCCCCCTCACATCCCTATAAATTGCATATCGTTGTGTTCCTTGTGACAATTTATTAAAAAAAAGCCAATGTTCCCACAAAAAAAAGTGAATGAACTGCCTCAAAATGGCGTCCAAACATGGCGGATTGACGACTTTGACTTTAGTTAGTTTTTTTTTACTGAGAATCAGCATTTGGCTTAATTTCATTATAGTTGGTCTTTTATTAAAGCTGGATAGTCATAGAATAATAAAACATGAAAAAAAATTAAAAACTAATTGGCTTAGGCATTAAAAAAAATCGGTAAAGTCAATTTTTTTTACAAAAAAATTTTCAAGTTGAAAATCAAGCGTCGTTTGTAATTAAAACTAATGCAAAACTTGCTGAAGTAAAACATCTGGAGAATACATTTTTCTTTCTAAAACACTGATTACTTTTTAAAATATTTGAAGTAGTTCCGCAGAAAATGTACAAAGCGGCAGAAAAGCGCTACTGGCGTAGGTGCCTCAGGCCTCTACCACA